GGGTTTAGGGTTTGGGTTTTAGGATGTAGGGTTTAGGGTTTCGGATGTAGGCGGGGCGGCGCTCCCGCTTCTGCTTTCTTTCAAGGGTTTAGGGTTTAGGGTTTAGGGTCTCATAAGGAAGCATTTCCAGATCCTCAGCCCTGGAAAGTGGAGGAAGAGTGCCTTCTACAACAAAGAATCGTGGAGGAAGCTCTAAACCGTGAGCCTAAACCTTGAGCCCTGAGCCCTAAACCCCAAGCCCCGGCAACCTTGACGCGAGTGGCGGTTGGGAGCTGTTGAATCCCATCTGAGGCCGGCTTGGGCAAGCTGGGTGGCTTCCATCCAGGCCCCCCGCTCTTTGGTCTTGTGGGTTTTTTTGTGGGTTTGTGGAAGGGCCTTAGAGCAGTTTAGGGTCTCCCGAAACCCTAAACCCTAAACCCTAAACCCTAAACCCTAAACCCTAAACCCTAAACCCTAAAGCCTGAACTCTAAGAGCTTTCAGAAGGCAAAGGGGCTTTGGGGATCAGGGTGTAGCGGTTTCAGGTTGAGAGCTCTTGTTTCAGGCTTTACAAAGTTTAGGCTATATGGCTTGTTTGGGAAACCCTAAACCCTAAGCCCTAAACCCTCAACTTTGAGCTTTCTGAATGTGTGATGGTGAAAACCTGTCTTGGGGCTTTCTCCAACTTCCGGGCTTCTTGGCTTCCTACTATTAGGGGCCGTAAGAACTAGTTACATTATTTTGAGGGCTCCTTGTTACAAGTGTAGTAGACTATTTCCCCAAAACCCTATTCTGTTTATTAAGGCCCCAGGGTTTATATGGTATAGAAGCAGGAGGCACCAGGAACGACGGAGGCCGTAGCAGTCGAGAAGCAAGCTGGGCGTGAGTCTAGAGATGGACAAGTACACACAAACACCATGCAACATGCAGGCGCTTATGTATCCAATTACTTGCCAAGTCATATAGATAGATAGATCGATAGATCGGTAGATCGCTAGGTAGATCGATAGATAGATCGATAGATAGATAGAGATATAATAGATAGAGCTGCAGACATGCTTAGTGCAGTTTATTTGCTGTCCTGTCTAGTGCAACCTGTCTGTGGATGTCATCCTCTTCGCAGGAAGGCTTCGCCACGTAGCGCATCGGTACTCAGTTTCAGCGCCTGCTTGCTTCCCGAATCGCACTAAGCAGACGTCCCTAGCTGTTCCGTTTGGATGATGCCAAGCTGCACCGTCCGCGGCAAAATCATCTCCTCCCACACCTGGATGGAGTCTGTGCCAAGTTAGGACGGGCAGCATGATG